CCCCCCCCTTGCCTGCAAACCCTCCTGGGAACGTCACCCGCCTTGCGGGGGCAGCAGAAGGTCACCCGGGGGTGGGAGGGGGGAGGGGCTGGAGTTTTGCGGTGGGGGGGAGCTTCCGTTCCCAGCAGGGGCTCCGGCAGGCCAGTGCGTGCCCTGGGTCACGTCCCCCGGCCGGGGTGTGTGTGTGTGTGTCTGTGTGTGTGTCTGTCTGTGAACGGGGCCTGTGGTTTCTGCCTCTAACCAGCCCCCTGAGCAGCCTGGCACCCGCCGCTTCCTCCAGCAGCAACCCTCGCAGCCGGAAACGGAGCAGCTCACCTCCGGAGAAAGCAGCTCCCGGGTGGGGGGGTTGGGTGACCCAGTCCTGAAGGCCCCCAGGGGGATCTGGCGGGGAAGGGGGGGCCCCGCTGCCTCTAGCCCCAGGAGGGTTTCCAGGGACACCCACGGGGGCTGTTCCTCTGCAGCGAAGCCCCAACCGCTCGGGTCTGGGGAGGGGCCACCCCAAGAGGACTCCAGTGGGGCCCAGAAGCTTCCACCGTTCCCCCCCCCCCCGAACCCCCCCGGGGCCCTCTGCTTTCTTTGCAGCACCCCCCCCCCCAACTCAGCAGAGACGAGGAGGACAACCCCAGGAGAGGCGCAGGGCCCCCACGAACCATGGTCTGTTGACTGAACCACCCAAGGGCTGGCCTCCCCCGACTCCCTGGGGGCTTTTCCGGAAGTGGGCAGCCTGGGTGCCCTTTTGAAGTGGGGGGGGCCTTGCAGGGCCCCCCGAAGGGCGTTGGCTTCTTTTTCAGAGATCAAAACTTTGACAGTGGGGGCGGGTGGGTGTCCAGGCCTGGCTGCTTGGAGACCGGGGGGCTTCCCCTCGGCTGACTGGGGAATCTGGGGAGTGGGAGTCCCCTGGCCCTCAAGAGGCCAAGGTTGGACACCCTCCCCCCGAGATGACAAAACTGCCCCCAGATCTTAAAGGCCCCTCCAGGAAAGGCGGCTTGTGCCAGTTCCCAAGGCCTTCAGGGCCCCAGGGAGCCCCCCCCCCCGCATCCTGCCGCCCACGTAGGAGAAAGACAGGACCAGGGAGGGGCAGGGCCTGCCCGACTGGCACCCAGGCCGCCCCCCCCCGCCCGCTGCCCCCAACCCAGAGCCGAAAGCCAGGGCTT